TAACAAACAACAACAAAAACAACAACAACATCAACAACATCAACAACAACAACAACAACAGTAGCAGCAGCAGCTACAACAACGACAACAGTATAACTGCCACCGGAGTAGTGGGGGGGGGGGGTATTGGCTTGTCTGGCTTCATCTGTTAAAGTCTGGCCATGAGTTTAACGGCAGTTACAACACAAATAAGTCACAGAAATATAGAAGTGCCGAACATTACAGGGGTTACTAAAGAGTCACGCACAGGAACAAGATGGAGAAGAGATAAGGACGGTAGACAGGAAAGATGGAGCCATCCACACCAGAGCACCGGCCAATCACTTACTCGCTACCTACCACTCGCTACATTATTTGGAGTCTTTAAAATTGCATTCGAAAAGGTTTAGCCATATTTTTTTGTGAAATTCAATTCTTTGCGTCAAATTTCCCAAAACGACGTAGGCCTTACTCAGCAGGTTGAACGTTGTACTTCTAGGGTATCATACTATCTGGCCTTTGCGCAAACCTTTAACATAATATATATATATTTTTTTTATAGTAGAGGGTTTTACGGCGCTCGCAAATGCATAAGGTCATATGAGCGCCAAGGGGTGGGTATCAACAGAAACGTCTTTACAGCGAATCAGACTTAGACTGCTCACCTCTCTACTCTTGCTTCAACAGCACAAGGTCTGCTTCGACTATCAAGGCACTCCGGAAATAGCCGGTCACAAGAGCGAGACAAACATACAAATGAAGTAGAGGAAAATGACAATAGTAAGGATCAGAAAAGAAAAAGCAGCAGTTCCCTGTTGTAGATCAGGCACAGTTATGAGCGTGACAAGAGTCAGCCCATTTACAATTCTACTACGCTTGAACGAGAAATGTCCCCCCTTTGGGAATGGCCTGAAGACACTACAGTCAGTGGCACTGCCACAGGGGTTTTTAACATAATAGAGGCCTTTGGAGACTCTAGAAGTTGAAAAGTGTGTGCCTCTATGAAGGCACAGAACTGAGATATATGGAGCTCATTGGCCCAGTGCGGATGATTATAACCAGCCCAAAGTGGTGATCGTTCGGCCACAAGCGGAAGAACCGGGCATGCATTAAGATTAATATCAGACGCGCCAAGCCCCGGACGGGAACCCCGGGGGAAAAACAAAAATCTGAATTTGATCGATCTAAGTGCAGAAGAACTGGCACAGATTATTCTGATATAAAGAGAAGACGAAACAAGAAACTGCAAAAAAATTTTTTTTATAATCAAAAACAAAACAATAATAAACTAAAAAACAACAACAACGAACCAACAAATTGCCCTCCACCCTTCCAAATAAACGGATAGATCATAGAAATAAACAAATAAATATATAAATAAATAGATAAATAAATAAATAAATGAATAAAAATAAGCAAACACCAAGCCTGAGAAGAAGTGTACAAGACAAGACCACAAATAACAGACTTTATAGACAGTTAAACCTAAATGATAATATGCCTAGAAGTACTGACCATATATCTAAAAATGCAACAGTTTCAATCTCGGATCAAATGATACTCAACCAAATCTTATGATGGCAATTTCTTTTTCCATGATTTGCCTACCGTATAAAAGTGATCATTGGCAGTTTTGGGGATTAAAAAAAAAGGGTCCGATAATTCACGCAATGCAAAAGGGATCTTTTTCGTGGTGACACCATGCCGTGTGAGCGAGTAAAATACAGGAGGCAAATAGGTCAGCTCACTTGGCAATTTGTTGTTAGAATTAAAACACACGTATGGACAGCTGGATTGTGTTGACTGGCTGAGTCATTTTTTACAACATTGCTGGAGTCTTTGTTTTGAGAAGATACAAGTATTGGGCCTATATTATGAATGGTCTCTTAACCTTTTTAGCTCAAGAAACCGCTGTAGAAATACTTCCATCGAAAAATACAAACATTTTTGATAAGCTTTGTGTTCTGACAAATTTTAAGTATGGCATATGCTTACTGTCCCAGACAATAATTAATAACTTCTCCAAGTTTGTGGGAAATTTGGCCTATGTTTGATCATCCGGACACGTGAAACTCTATACTCAAAATTTGAACTGGTCAGGCGAGCACCGCTGCATCAGCCTGTCTTGGAGTAACCCAGAAAAGGCCTTTTGCGTTAAAAAAATACGCTGACTTTAACTTTTTAAGTCCAAAAAGAAGTTTCAGGCCCGTTATTGTGGAGAGTAGTAGTTGATTCCATATTTAGATCTAGTGCACCTTCTGAAAGAGTAATTTGGTGATAGTAAAAACAATTCGATGCGACAGGAGGAGGAGGAGGAGTTAGTACAGAAATATCTCTTTATCAGATCTATAGGCCTACCTGCTTCTTTGGGTTAGCGTTTGGTGTAGCAACAAATATCACTTGGTGTTTCATTTTCTTCATCCATCTTTCCGTTTGACAACTTTTTGAAAGTGCAGCTGTTTGTTTGATGTTGTCTTTTTCTTTTCTTTTCAAGAGCAGGCTTAACATTAAGAAACAATATAACTAGCTATAGCCTTGGTACAGTATCGAAACTATAATTGATTATACAGCAGAAAGAACCAAAAACAGTTTGGCGGTCACCAAATACTTTCTTTGACACTGCCGGTTTTTTATGTTTAGTTTTTGTGTACGTTTTGACGAAGTTAAATAGAGTCGGATGGTGGAAGATTTAAGGTGAACAGACTGTTGAAAAGGTGAATAGATAAATATGCGAAAAGCAAGCATTGCCGTAACATATATGTTTTCCAAAGGTCAGTCAAAGTATCAAAAGCAAAGGTATCAGGCAACAATCTTTGGTAAATTAGGTGGGCCCTATTATCAGAAATACATGTGTGTTTTGTTTTCAATATATGCTTAATTCAAGTCCAAGTTAAAGTTTACAAGTTTCAAAACAAAAATCTACTCACGTCAAAATGGTTCTGTTGTGCACACGAAGATCACACTCCAATACCAGCTTCTTTTTCCTCTATGCGGATGTCAGTGTCGAACAGGGAAACAATATTATTATAATGTTTTCGGATCTCGTGTGGCACATTTTCTGGATTATCCTTGTCCCTCACCTTACGAGACTTAACTTATAGGAACAATATCTTTACTCTTTCGATGAGACGTTCCTAAAACGTTTCTTCACCGTAAGTTTCTTTTGTTAAGTTTCAGGCACAATTCTTCAAGAGACTATCTCTGCGGTCATCAGTGAGCCGAACTACGAGAGAGCAAAGTCGGATGACCAGGATACTTTATACCCCTCAGAGTACAAAGATAAGCCCCTCGCGATTGCAAAGATGTGACTGCCCTTGCACGCGTCACAGCCCCACTGGCCTGCGTGTCACGTACAATGCCAAGCCAGCCCCGTTCAGCAGCGGTTCCGTGAGGCGCACACTTCATCTGCCACATTATTTCCATCTCCACCAAGCCCCTTCTTTGTAGTAGTCACAATTACAATTTTTTTTCAGTGTCACTCCTCAGCCAAGGGCACTGGAGGGCGGAACGTGCTACGTTCACTGACGAGGGAGGGCGGGGGGGGGGGGGGGGGGTTGAGGGTGTGGGCAGGCCTCTACCTATTACTCTTCTGAGAATTCTAAGGGGCGTGTCAAATCGGCTTAAATCACTTGATCGGATGAACTGGGAGCGGAGGAAACATAGACAACCTTACTACAGTCACTAGAAAACAATAGCGGGAAAACATTTGTTAAGTCTCGATAATTTCTATTTTATAAGAATTTGTAAATTGTTTTTCTTTCAGCAGTGATCACGTTGTAGACAAAAAGTGAAGTGATAGCACGAAAACTACACAAAAAGAAAGAAAAACTAGCAAACAACTCCCCCCCCCCCCCCCCCACGCTTTTCGACATATCCATTTTTTTCTCTGTCCCCAGTGAAGATATTAATGACGACCTCATATATTACTTTTTGGAATAAAAAAAAAAGAAGAAACAAACAAATCATGATCTGACCATTTCATGTAATTGTATGTGACTGACTGACCACAGGTAGCAGACATGTTGACGATGGCTATATAATATAAATATAACGGTCATCAGGATAGCCTACTTGCCTGGGAAAACATATCGTTGATCGTTGAGCGAAAGACGTAGATATTCTTTTTGTCTTATTAGGAAAATGAATAGGTCTACACACTTATCTTGTTAAACGGTTTTACAACAAGACGAGAAGTACATGTAATACTCAAAACACGATTATATAAGTTTGATCGCTTTAAACAGAAAATAATGTATAGCCACGTATCATGATGAAGCCAAGTTGATAACCGTCGACTAAATTGAATGAGCCGTGGAGAAGGGAGGCAAGGGGTGTGTGTGTGTGTGTGTGTGTGTGTGTGTGTGTGTGTGTGTGTGTGTGTGTTTATGTTGGGGAGGGGGGGAGGGGGGTTGTACTTTGCGGAATGTTTTTGTTAAAGCAACTTTCGTTTTTCTTTTAGCATTGGTCACGTCAAGGGAAAAAAGTGAAATATTCACAAGAAAATTATTGACACAAACAAACACACAAACAAACAAACAATCCCCCTCCCCCATTCACACACCTTTTGGCTTGTTTGAACAGTTGAACAATTTCCCTTAATATTTTTAATGTTTTTCTTTTTTTTTGGGGGGGGGGGGGGAAGAAATATTAGCGGCAACTTTCATTTCATCACCTTTGTCTCACCGTCTGTTGCCATGTTGAATTATTATAGTGTGTCGTGCAAACTCTGGAAAAAGTAATTTTTGAATTTTTAACCACTTTCACATGGTTCAATATCAATCTCACAGAAGCGCTATAATATAGAAACCTCTCAAATTAAATGGGCAGAAGTCGAGACGTGCTGATAACAGACGTCTCGGCAGAAGTGCATCAGAGGCAAACTATCAGGTGGTTCGGACATCTGACACGTATGACACCTCACTAGCTTGCCAGTGAAGCGTACTACAGAAAAATATCAGGCTGCAAGGCAAGAGGAAAACCAAGAAAGACCAGGATCGAGGGTGTGAAGGATACCATGAAAACATACAACATTCCACCCCGCCATGTCTTCAAACTTGCTGGAATTGGCGCTCATAAGACCTTATGCAGTTGTGAGCGCCGTAAAATCTCTACTAAAACTAAACTTGCTGGAAACGAAAAGCTCATTCTCCCATGGACGCCCTAAAAGTACGAGAGGACAGATAAAGTAAAGAAAGTAAGCAAGTAGAACTGCGGAGTAAGACATTTTGTCCATGTCATAGAAAAACAATAGCATAATCAGGCTTTGCCTTAGACACCATGTAACAAGCTCTCTATGAATGATGTAGAACTTTGTACGGCAAATGTACACATTGGTGTAGTGCTGTGACAAAATTCTTTGACAAAAAGATAATTGTTAGTATCAAGGTCACCTTGCCCAATCACAGAGATAATATTATTTCTGTGAAAATTGGGAAACGATGTAGGTTTAACACCCTTATCAATACTATAAAGGGTTATTTAAGAGGTTAACGTCAATCTCTGAAAGGACCGAGCCAAAAGGGGAAATTCGTGTAAAGTGCATTTTCTAAGGAGACAACGTCGGACCAAGCTGAGGCATTTATTCTTGACATTGACGAACAAACTCAGGGAAGGTGGTGGATATTCAAACTATATCCTACATGCTCTTTAGTTTTGACCATTCTACAGAATCTCATATACGCTGGAAAATTTAAACAACCCTGTGGCATGTCTCTGGGTCGATTCTTTGACTTGCGGTTCAACACTGAGTTTCAACTTTTCATTGTTTGTGGGTAAAGAAAGTAAGTGCGTGTATTATTTTTGTTAACTCAGCCTTTTAACACAGAATCTCATATACGCTGGAAAATTTAAACAACCCTGTGGCATGTTTCTGGGTCGATTCTTTGACCTGCGGTTCAACACTGAGTTTCAACTTTTCATTATTTGTGGGTAAAGAAAGTAAGTGCGTGTGTTATTTTTGTTAACTCAGCCTTTTAACACTTGCATGTGTACACACATGATTCCACGTGTCCGCGCGCCGCGCGCGCGTGCACGTGTGTGTGTGTGTGTGTATGTGTGTGTGTGTGTGTGTGTGCGTGCGTGCGTGCGTGCGTGCGTGCGTGCGTGCGTGCGTGCGTGCGTGCGTGCGTGCGTGCGTGCGTGTGTGTGTGTGTGTGTGTGTGTGTGGAGGGAGGGAGGAGATTTGTATGCACGCACAGTACTGTAGTTCGATACTAATTTGTTTTTGTGGATGATACAAATATACAGATAATAAGTAGAGGGCGATTGAGGTTCTTAATAGAGAAGAATCGGCCATCATTTCCCATGGGTTAAAAATAAAATCAGAATAAAAAGCACAAAGCCTTGGATTTTATGCGTGAACATGCATGAAATAAAAGGCGCGTGACGTCGAGTAGCAGCGTGTAATCTGTGTTACTTTGATAGACTACTTGAACTCAGCAGTCTTGCGCCGTGTGTGGCATGGCATTAAGTGCTTTAATACCCCCCCCCCCCCCTTTCCAAAAAAACAACAACAACAACACAACAACAACAAAAACAAAAAGCAAAAAACAAAAAACAAAAAACAACAACCCTCCAACCCCCCCCAAACAACAACAACAACAACAGCAACAACAACAAAAAAACAACGATAACAAAGCAAAACATTTGTTAAAATCCATGTATGTAGTAATAAAGCAGAACAAAACAAAAATCAGATCCCACTGCTGTTCTACTTCTGTTCCCAAAAACTGAAGACCACACACAGTCAAAACGTTTTTAGTGCAAATGAACCTCTGCCTCTTTTTAAAATATGGACTAGGATCGAGCCTCCCTGGCATAGACATAATTATGATAATTGTAAAGATAGACGGAGGATTCCGAAGAATGGGAATACCACGTGAACGTGTTGACCTCGGAATGTTAAACCTGCAACACACGGTTTACCTCAGTTTCTATTATTAGGTCTTAAAGGGCGTGGTGGGATGTATTAACAGACCAAGTTCCATTAAGATTACTGACCCACCTAAGACATAACCGCACCGGTAAATACATGGGAGCTGTCACTTCAGCTGTCAGAGAGAGAGAGAGAGAGAGAGAGAGAGAGAGAGAGAGAGAGAGAGAGAGAGCCGAGTAGGTATCGGCGCCACGTGCTCACATAATGGCTTTATCTTTTTTAATTGACCTTGAGGCCTGGTTCGAAGCCGTTGTGGTCTTGCATTAGCCTTACAGAAAAAGGTTTTCCAGAAGAGTTACGCAAGGTCAACCAAGGAAGACATCAAGTTAGTCCTGCGATAAGTTTGACTTAAATGTCATTTATTCTACTTTACGGAGCTCAAAATACACCTCACATTGGCAAATGATAAGACAACTTGCTTTGGTTGGTATAAATTGAAAAACCTCTTCAAATGTCTTGGTTTCCTTTTCAGAAAAAAAACCAAACTGTCCTCATTGCAGCTATGATCAGCATAATTGTGAGGTCTATCTAGTTTGTGTAGCCCACAAAAATGTTTTTAATTTTTAAAAAAGTTACACCAGTCGTTGCTTCGAACTAATTATACACTTTCAGCATAATATTGTAGCAGTTAGTATCAAAATCAACAACGCAGTCGCCAAAGCTTGCAGAGTTGCAAATTATAATAGTTGGCTGTTACAGGGATGATCTTTTCGTAAGCCGCTTGACCAAGAAATAATACCCTGGGTTGTGGCGAGTACGGTACGTGTTAGATGGTGTGAGGGTCACGTCACGTGAAGGTGGTGGAGCATTGTCACGCCATGACCTTCACGTTTTGGTCAGCGGTAACATTTTAGCACTAAGTTAAGTTAAGAGTTTGAGGTTGACACCCTCTCCAACACGCTCGCCGGCTGTTCTCAAGGCTGGATAGTTGGTTGTACATCTACCTTCCACCGAATGGATTTGAGATACGGTACGTAATAGATGGCATTTGTATAGAACGCAAATTCCCGCTCATTGCGCTTAACAATCTATATTATTACACCTGCAGACCTGGCAGTGACTGACGGCATTCTTTTCTTCTTTTCTCTTTTAGATTTTTTTGGAAAGCGATTTACGGCGCTCGCAACTGCATAAGGTCATATGAGCGCGTGGGACACATTAAACACTTTCAGTTGGTAGGAAATTTAGAATTTTGCTCGGGTGGCGGCCGAGGCCTACTCTGATCAAATTTGGACCACCAAAAGAATTTAACGTTCACAACTTGCTCCGGGACCTCCGAGATTT